AAAAAACAACCCTGTGAGGTGGTTTGGCTGAGAGAATGACTGACCCAAAGTCACTCAGTTAGCTTTTATGACTAAGGCAGGCCTGGAAATTATCATCTCCATATCTAAGCCAGCACCTTCACCACTACCCCAAACTGGCTCTCTTTTATGGTTCAGAGGATAGCATGCTTTAAATTTTGTTTTTATTCAGAACAACCGGCATTTCCTGTCTCATGGAGTCACAGCTCTTCTTTAAGACTTGTGAACTTCAGCTCCCAGAATTCCTCAGCTAGCCACACTGGCTGGGGAATTCTGGGAGTTGAAGTCCACAAGTCTTAAAAGTTGCCAAATTTGTAAACCTCTTTCCAAGGGCAACAGTGGCAGAGGTCATTGGACCCTGAATTTGATCCCCCTTCTTTGTGGCAGCCCCTCAAATACTGAAATACTGCTATCATGTCGTCCTGAATTCTTCTTTTCTTTAGACTAGCCAGACCCAAATCCTGCAGCCGTTCTTCATATGTTTTAGTCTCCAGGCCTTTGGTCATCTTAGGTCTTCTCTGAACTGTTTCCATCTTTTTTGTAGTATGGTGACAAAAATTGGTTGCGGTATTCCACCTGTGGTCTTACTAGGGTTTTATAAACTAACACTTTGTGTGATCTTGATTCTATGGCTTGGACTGTATTAGGGATTTTTTGCTGCTACTGCACACTGCTGGGTGATGAAATGTCTGCAAGAAAGCAGCCAAGCTCAGAGAACAGCGCGGGGGGTGTCCCACAATCCAATCTTCAGCTACAGTTACAAATATTTTCTTTTACTGACAGCCCAACGAGAGACATTGAAAAGGAGTCGGATATCAGTTGTTCTGCCAATTGTTACTACTTAATTGGTATCCATTGCCGATTGCTAGTTTTTAATCTTTCTTATCCCATGCCATCTTTTAGTTAGGCCTAAGTATCAGCTGAGAAGCACAAAGCCAACGTAGCACCACCCACAATACGGCAATTAAAAGATTAGAGTAGTAGTAACAGGATAACAGATTTGAAAGTGACCTTGGAGGTTTTCTAATCCAACCCTCTGCTCAAGCAGGAGACCCGAAACGATTCCAGACAAATAGTTGTCCAATCTCCAGGGTTGAAAACCTCCAGGGATGGAGCATCCATAATGACTGAAGGCAATTCAGTCCAGAATGCAGCCACGCGAGCGATATTGTGTGTACCAAGGTACACCCGTATTACACCTATCCTCCGCGAGCTGCACTGGCTTCCNGGGGTGCTGGGGAGAATCAGTTGGGTGGAATGATAGGGAGAGGATACCAGGGAGGGACTGATTGGGAGATGTGGCCATGGTGCATTATCTGAAAGGGGGAGGCTGGGGTGAGTTGGCTGGGGCAAGGCGACTGCAGCCATTTGTCCCGTTCTCACCAAAGTGATGGGTTGCAAAGTTACTATTTCATCGTTGTTGCCAAATAAGGACTATCTGTAATGTGTATGTAGCTATCACAACTGCTTAATTCTCAGGCTTCAAACACAGGACCAAAAAGCAATGAAGTCTCATAGCAGTATAGCTTGTTAAGAGGTTGCCAAAAATAAATTTTCTGTAGAGAATAGTGGGAGGAACTCTTGAAGACCAAAGGATGCAGCCATATTCATATATTTGAGAAGGGAGGAGAAAATGATAAATGCATAAGGAATAGATGATGTAAGCATAGATATTCACAATTAACAAGCTATCTATTATATTGCCACTCTTCTATTGTCACTATCTTCAACAGAGAAATATTCTCTTAATGAAGAAAAAGCATGTCAGTTACGTTGCCATTGAAATTTTGATAAAGTTGATTGAAAATGAAAGAATTCAAGTTTTCTATTCTATGGGCCAATTCACACACATATCTGATGAAAATGGAGATGTTATCATCAACCTACCAAGGATTAAATAACTACATGTCACAGGACTCTGTGATTTGTAGCTGCCTCCTGACTTTGATGACTGTCATTCCTTGTCATACCTTGACATTAGTGGAAACTTGTTCTCACTAAAGAAATGTGATTGTGATGTTGGGCATGGATAGAAGGATTTCTGTTCTGTGCACACAGATCTCATAGAACAACGTGGTTTACCATGGAGGTCCAGGAGATTAATTGTCACAAGAGATGATGAACCTACTGCATACAAGGATGACAGTCTTTACTCCATTCCTCTCAGGGAAATTCTGCCCAACCTTGATGAAGCCATACTGCAGATCTGGATGTGAGGGGGATTTAAACTCTGCTATTTCAACAACAATTGAATAGCTTTAGAGAAGTTCTATAAAATCTTAAACATCTAAAAAAAGAGCCATATATGTATAAAAACACTGATGTTGAACCCAATCTTTTAAAGCACTACCTTAAAAATAAAATAAATAAACTAAGGAACAAAATTAAATTTACCAATGAAACATTAAACATGCATCTNCCCCTTTCCCTTCCTTTCTCCTCCCTTCCTCCCTCCCTCCTTCCCCCCCCTCTCTCATCCTTTTCCTCTCTCCCTCCCTCCCTCCCCCTTTCCCTTCCTTTCTCCTCCCTTCCTCCCTCCCTCCTTCCCCCCTCTCTCATCCTTTTCCTCTCTTCCTTCCTTCCTCCCCCTTTCCCTTCCTTTCTCCTCCCTTCCTCCCTCCCTCCTTCCCCCCTCTCTCATCCTTTTCCTCTCTTCCTTCCTTCCTCCCCCTTTCCCTTCCTTTCTCCTCCTCCCTCCCTCATCCTTTCCCTTCCTCCCTCCCTCATTCGTTTCCTCCCTCCCTTCCTTCCTCCCCCTTTCCCTTCCTTTCTCCTCCCTCCCTCCCTCATCCTTTCCCTTCCTCCCTTCCTTACTTTGTTCCTCCCCCTCCCTTTTCCTCCCTCCCTCCCTCCCTCATCCTTTCCTTTCCTCCCTTGCTTTCTTACTTCCTCCCACTTTTCCTCCCCCCTCCCTTTTCCTTCCAGCCTCCAGCGTCCTGTCCACCACGTGGTGCCTCCTAGTGCTGTCACGGAGGACTACCTGCGAAGTTTCCGGCCCTACCACACAGCCGAGGAGCTCCGCATGTCCTCCTTGCCTCCCCTCACTTTGGACCCGGCCACTGCTGCGGCTTATTACCACCCCAGCTATTTGGCTCACCACCCTTTCCCTCATCCGGCTTTCAGGTAAGAGAAGACAAGTTGAGCGAGGAGGAGGAGGGGGAGGAGGTTGTGCTCCTTCGGTCTTGATCTGGTCGGGCAGCTGCAGCTGGCTAAGTAGTCCGTCCTCCAGGCATGTCCTTTGGAGCCACCGCTAATGAAACCTCCTGGCCCATGGAGGGGAAGGTTCTCGGAGGACTTTCACACAGCGAAATGAAACCCAGCAGGTTGTCCCTTAAAAGAACAGCAGGGCTCCAGATGATGGACTACTAATTTATCCTCCTGTTGAGCGGGCTCAGCTGCTGTCCAGCTTCACCCCAGCTAGCAAGGCATGCTGTGTCCATGGAGATCTGAAGGATCTTGGAAACAAATGCTTTGAAGGGCCTCCGAGAAAGCTGAGAACTTGCCTCCAGCTTTTCTCCGTGTGAATGAGTCCCGCGCGTGTTGGAGTCTGCGGGCGGACTTGGCTTTAGAGGACGTGAGAATGTAGGTGGATGTTACGGCCTTTCTTGAGATCATCTGAGAAGGTCCCTGAAGGACCCTCATCTAGTGAGCTTGGCTCAGTGGTGACCAAGGACTGCATCTTCTCAGTAAGGTGGCTGGAAAGTCCTTTTTGGAGTCTCACATCCCATACCCACCCTGACAGATTTTCAATAATAGATAATAAAGGTTTCAATCTAGGTCAATCATTGGGACCGGAAAGTTAGTCTTCCGAGCTTTCAAATTCATCCTTGGGGAATCTCTCTAGTTGTGGGAACCTCTCCCTAGCAGACAAATTCTGCTAGAGAGAAGTTTCCCGAGGATGGGCTGCAGCACGAGTCCAATAGCAATAGCAATAGCAGTTAGACTTATATACCGCTTCATAGGGCTTTCAGCCCTCTCTAAGCGGTTTACAGAGTCAGCATATTGCCC